TAAATTTGACATATATATTTTTACTGTTCTTAATTTTTTTCTTAATATTGTTTCCAGGTCATAAAAAATAGTTTAAAGGTATGTAATTGGTTACTAAACGATTATGTACTTGTCATCTAATTACTTTAGGAATATATTATTTTAAAAAAGTTAACTATATAATTTAGATAAACAAAACGCACTTAAAAAGTCTACCGTCACTGTAATTTTCAGTGGAACCATAATTACATCATCACTAAATTAGCGTATAGCAGACGCTATTTTTATTCTAAATAGTAGTCGCCAAGACTGCCAATTTATGAAAAATGTATAAGCGATTTTTTAAAAATATTTTCATTGTGTTCGACATAAAATATTTAAATATAATGTGTTGTACATAGAATATATCGTAACCTGTGCGGCCTAGAGCAATTTAATTTTAACTGCCTACACAGAACACGAGGCGAAATAACCTTAAAATATATTTGTTAATATAATGATGCATATTATGTAACTAACAATACAAGAAAGCAGTAATATTGGTTGCCTAGATGCCAGTAATTTCTTACAAAAAATGTCACTTTATATGTCAAAATTAGAAAAATTATTTTAAGTAATTATGAGTGCAGTGTGTGAGATTTTTTGCAATTAGGAAACATGGTCTCACAAAAAAATAATTCATTTGGGGTTTGGTATTTTTGGTCAAAAATTAGTTTTCAGATGATTTACTCATATTTTCGGCTAATTTTGTGTTTATTTTATTTTCGATTTAAAATTTGTTTTCATTTCATTTTCAAATTGTTTTTTTTTTTGCCCTAAGGGACTATTTGCTATAACCATGATCCGTGTCCAGATCTCTCACAGAAGTAAAACGTGGCGCCATGTAGCACGGAAGGCTTATTGGAGCCATTTTGCATTTTTAATTCACGAAATTTGGTTCAGAAAAGTCGTAATTTTCGCATTAAATAAATTTGAATGATTAAACATGTTCACTTGCTGTTTTTACAAAAAACCTATTTTTATATCACTAGTGATGGGGGGCTTTTCATGAAAATTCATTTTTAGACCAGTCCGACGGAAATGTCAGGAAAAGTAGAGTGTGTTTGGACAGTCAACTTTTCACACTAGGCCGTCGGACTTGACTGTAGACTTTTCCAAGCGACCCATCACTACTTTTTACTATTTGATTACGAGATCCATAAAACTTATAAGGATAAATACATTAAATGTTTATATACGTTAATGTCAGCGATGATATAAACATAATTTATAGGCTAATAAGACTACTAATAAACATTAGCTTCACTCCAATAATTTTGATAATAATCATTAAAGTGTTTCTTAAAGGAATTCCTAAAGTAATTCTGTTTTTATTTTTAATCAAAATAACACCCATCCAATGTTTTTTAGGAGATTCACAAAAGAATTGATATTTTGGGACTTACTTATTGGTATACCTATTTATTTCTATTTACTTTTTAAATTTAAATTTATAATCAACAGCGCACAATCGTAGTTAATATATCGAATGAAGTTAGATATTTTTCTCAAATCAATCGGATAAATTATTGTAATATTTATGTAAATAGTATGCAGAATATATTCTTACAAAATATGAAACTTAAAAAAAACAAGGGCTTATTTTTTAGCAGATTAGTGCACTTCCGTTAGATACTATTATGTAATATTATAGAGAAACCTTAACTAAGACTCTTCGTTTATTTTTTGTGTAATTGTTTTAATGCATGAATTAATAAGTTTCCTTTGGCCAGCTAGATATGCAGTTCATCCAATGTGCATCACACCTAACAGTATATCATTAGTCCGGGCATAACGAATCGAATTATGTCCATTTATGTGACCTTTTTAGTTCACCTAGGTGGTCTAAGAATTTGAGATTTAAGAACTGTCATTTCACTTCTGGTCTACATCTCTTATCGCGGTATTGTATTATTTTACAAATTGGCCAGAATGATGTAAGCGCAGCCAGCCATTTATGAAACCAACAATTTCGAAATAAACGAATAGTTTAATATAAAAGTTGCCTCAAAAGCTGAATGATTCTTCATGTTATATTATTTTTATAACCGTTCCTCTTCTTCACATCTGGAATAATTACTAAATATTTTCATAACTTGTATCAAAATATTTCATTGTTGTTTTACAGATTAAATTGTATCAGAAAAACTAGTTCGCAAACTTAGTTACAGATTATTTTAATCACAATGTTTTTGACAAATTGGAAAATATAAAAACTGGATTTTTCTGAAGAAGTTATACAAGTAATTTTAAAAAAATGACTTCAAAATCGTGCAGATGCCCTTAAAAATTGAGATTTTTTATTTTCTCATAGATCATCAGATCCTGACAAAATGTTTGTTTACGGAACTACCCCTGAGGTATCCCCTTTCTAACAAAAAAATTAATCATAGAAATCGGACAACGTGGTAAAGAATTATTGCTGGAAGTTCATAAAAACTGAAGAGTTTGATGATTTTCTTATGGACCCCATTATTAGATCATGACCAAATTTTAAATAGGACCACCCTTGAGGAACCCTCTTTCTAACAAAAAAAGAATCATAGAAATCGCACAACGTGGTAAAGAATTATCGTTGGAAATTCATAAAAACTGAAGAGTTTGATGATTTTCTTATGGACCCCATTATTAGATCATGACCAAATTTATATGGGACCACCCCTGAGAAACCCCCTTTATAACAAAAAAAGAATCATAGAAATCGGACAACGTAGTAAAGAATTATCGCTGAGCATACATAAAAAACAATATTCGGCGAAATGAGAACCTTCTTTTTTGAAGTCTGTTAAAAACTGAAAATTATTCAACTTTCCAAGAATTCTAATATTGTTTTGTGCTATCATTCTAGATTTTTTCTTTAGTTCTTGAACTTCAACAATGCATCGAATTTTTAATCATATTTACGTAGAATCAAAAACTATAATTTACCTGTTTAATTAGACATTTAGAAGACAATTGGTATTAAAAAACTGTTATTGATTATTCCCGCTCAAAACTGGCCAATAAAGTAACTACACATTATTACAAAGTTGCCAAATATAATAAGTAGGAAAATATACTCAATGTATATTAGCTATTCTATTCACATAGTACAAAACGAAATAGTATGCCATTACGTTCAACCGAAGAATATATTTCATATCCACTCTATCTAGTAAGAAACTGCAATAAAATGAAATCCACCAATCACAATTCATATTTTGATCACCCGACTACTATTATTTCATTAAATTTTAAATAAGTGACAATTCTCTCAAACTAATTGTCAGTATATTTTTTAGTTGACATTAAATATACATTAAAATGAGTCATTCTTGTGTAGAATCGATAAATAATATCATTTCTATTTTTATTTCGTCGGTATTTATAATTAAACCATACATTTTAATAAACCTATATGAAATCAATTTAATTACGAGTATTAAAACTAAAATAGTAGGTAAGGAGATAGAACAGATACTAGGGCACTTGGCTTTCATGCAGGGGTCCCGCGTTCAATTTTGGATTAGAACTATTTAAATTAAATCAAGTTTATTTTATTAGATAAATTAGTAAAAGTCATAATTATTTTTAAATTAGTTATTTTATCTTTATAACCTAAAATAATTTTTAAAATTTTTAGATTTTCAGTGGTGGCTCGAGTGGATTGTCCGTATCGCACTCAGACTTCGTCTTTGTGCGATATGGCCATCATATCCACTCTTGTTGCACAAACTACTCTACTTTCTTTAATATATTTTACATATTCAACCATATTATTATAGACCGTGGCCGCAGTTCGGGCATAGGCTTTAATTAACCCTTTACAGATGTCGACTGCGAACGGCAATCGAGTTAGTGATTAAGGAGCATTATATAGAAATTTCGAACGGCAATTGAGGTAAAAGGATTATAAAAAGGTACCCTTCAGATAGGCCTGACGGCAGATCAACGACGAAACACTACTAGACTAATCCATTCATTCATAATTGAGCCCTTTTTTATTTCAAGCATTCAGATTATGTTTATTAATACGCAGACAGAGCTGTCGCGTCAGCTGCCTGCCGCATCAGAAAGAAGGAGACAGGTGCTAATTTGAGTGGGGATGGTTTGTGCGAGTATGTTCATCCGAGGCGCGAGCCTGCGTTTTATGAATGAATCAATATTTACGTCTACTACGCTTGCTTTACACTGATGTCACACTGTAAAAGTAATTGCGCACTTTCCTGAAAAACACTATACAACTGATAATAATTGGCATTAAAAATGGAAATATACTTCCCTAATGTAATTTTAAAAGCCTTCTGTGCGCTTTAGAGCCTTATGTTGTCAATACCAAATTATAACCAAAAACAATTCTTGTAACACCACTACAACTACGTGGATGACACCGTGAATGTTTTCAATTCAATTTTTCTGAACAAAATTAGTCTAGTAGTTGTTCGTCATTGGTCCTGATTGAAACACGTCACAAGAAATAACATTGTATACTTTAATAATTATTTACTCATTATTAAAGCATTTTATAAATAGCAATTTTTCATAGAGACTATTAAAAAATACTTTTAAAAAGAATGGAAGTTGGGGAATATTTTCAGCGGTCAATTTCACCAGTTAGAATCTGTGAATAACTGAATGTTTTTAATCTACAAATTGTTTATAAAAAAATAAAACTTTTTCAAGCGAATGCTCTCTTAAATTATCACCATTTACGAGTTTTGAGTAGTGCTTAATTTACGAAATTCTGAGTTTTCATTATTATTTACATATACACTAAATGATACTTCTATGAAAAACGTATTGTATAAAATTACAAAAAAAATTAGAATTGAATAAAATGTTCTCATATTTGAATCCAAATAAAGTAAATCTGATCGTGTCTAAATAATTCGTCATACCGTTATAGCATTATTTTAATTATAATCTTCATTTACAAACTTTGTTCAGAGAAAAAGAAATAACCATAATTATTTTAAAAAAATAACTCATTTTTTATATTTCAGATGCTTGGTTGCCGTACGCTACTAGTCCTGTTACTAATAGCTCTGACGATAGCCACAGCAAAGGAAAAACCCAGAAAATCGTCGAACCACCTGCGAACAGTAAACCCGGACCCAGACGATGCTGAATACCTACAAGTTGACGCCACTGGCAAAAACGTCGGCGTTAGAAATAACAATTTAAAGAGAGAGAATAAATCGACCGCTGACGATGACAAGCCCAAAACGTTGTCTCAACAAATAGCAGATGGTAAATGCACGTTAGTTATTCATCATCATCTACTGTTAGGCATCTCTCTGTGTTACATTTAAGGATATATTTCGATAGACTCTCCATGTTGGTCCTCACTACAATATTCGTCTTCTCCATATTTTATCTGTAATTCTAATGATAATCTCCATCCAGTTATAGTTGACAGCCTTTATCTTCTATGTGACCTCTACTAATCGTGTTCGTCATCGTATTTCCTGGATTGGGATTCTGACAAATTTGTTAAATCTATTTTACATAACATAGATCACCCACTCCAATGAAAAAAATTGGTAGTTTTTTTACCCAGAATTTCCCTCGATACAGAACTTGTAAAAACAAGTAACTTCTAAGCACTTACATTTTAATAATTTAAAATTATAACCACCATACCAAAAACCCCTTTTCACCTTCATTTCTCCATCGATATTTCTTTTGTCCCCACCCGAATTCTCACTTCGCGTTCGCCCGGTGTTCTTCATCACGTTCACGGTTATTGAACTATAATGATTAGCTGCTTTTAAAATGGTCCAGTTACACAAACCAAAGGACGCTTTTTATTATTTGTATTCAAGGGGGACCTTTTTTGATTAAATACGATTCCTTTCAACGCCATTTTGAATTGACTTCTATAATACTCAGATACAAATTTTAGTTGAAATATACCGACTTTAAAAATAAATGATTTTTCGAAATTTATATTTCGAACTATTTACCTTCCATTTGAGAGCGACCTCTATCACATATTTTATATATATTAAATTATTTTTTAACTGCTCACCCTGTATAGAAATGAATAACAATTATAACAGTTTCCTGTTTTCTTTTGGACTTCTGTTTCCATATTTTATGTATCTTCTTTTCTTTCTAGTATATAAATAGAATCTTAAATCTTGGTATTTGGACTGAACAGTTTGTATACCATACGTACACGGAAATTCAGTTTATCCCCCCCCCCCCCTGGGGTTTTTTAAAGGATTTGTTTTGGATCAATTTGTATTGTTTTGAAGTACTTCTGTCTAACAGCTCTAATAATTTCACATTCGTAAATTATACTGTTTCCTTCTTTAATTTACTTATCCATCAGTGTAACCTTGCCACTGCTGTACATGTTTCCTATGTCGGTAGCGTCGTTAATAAGTCTATAATTGTTTTTCTATTTCGTAGAAATCTTATATAGAAAAGTATTACCATGAGTAAAAAAACACAAACGAGAAAAAATTCTATTTCAATTAGATATTATTCAATTGTGAGAAATTAGTGCAATACCAATTCCGATAGTTGGGTAGGTATAGTAGATATGTTATAGTACAATATACCTTCCAGGAATAAACTGTTCTCAGACACATTCCTAAGGACTTAACAACGAACAGTTCGTTTTACGAGTCTTTGTACATAATATAGGAGGTCTGGCAATTAAATAACGAGACTGCTTATGAAAGAGTTTTATTTTAAAAATTATTCTACAATCGAATGCTCCCCTTAAATGTATTCCCCCTGCCACACATCGTTCCATTCGGTTTTGTCCATTGGTCAAAGCAATGCTGGAATTATTTTTTGTAAGAGCATTTAGGATCTTCGCCGATTTTCGTTTCACTTCTTCCATCGACTTGAACTTTCAAATAGTAAGTTTAGTTTACGGCTTGGCCCTATACAACCCATTTAGTCATCACGATCCATTGTTGCCGAAAAAAACGCTTAGCATGGCTTTCAAGTTTGATTTCGACATTCGACCTTCAGAAAACCGTTTATACCATTCGAAAATATGCGTACGAGATAAAGAATTCTCACCATAGGCCTCTTTCAACAACTTATAGCACTCAGAGGGAGTTTCTTAATTTACCGAGAAATTTCACATTGATCCGTTACTCGTGTTTATCGTCACATTGTTATCGGCACGAGAAAAACACAAGTTCGTTTCTAACCTCTATAGAAAAAATATTACTACAGCAACAAAAATGTGTTTTCGTACTGGAATAGTACACTTGCACCTATCAAACGCTGTATCCGTTTTCCCCCTACCCCTCTAGGACGCCTTCGGCGCGCGCAGTCTCGTTATTTAATTGTTAGACCTCTATTTTTGTTGATATTCTGTGTTGTTATATATCTGTTAGAAAAATGAATATCAATACCTCATATAGTACTTTAATTTTAGATAATAATTCATTTAAATTTTAGAAATAATTTTTAGTTCGGCCACAAAGTGTTAATGTTGATAAATTACCTGACTTTCTATAACCAATTTAATTTAAAAAATACACAGCCACAATATAGTGATGTTTTAGATTACCAGTATAAATATACTGCTGTTCAAAATTATCACACCACCCAGAAATCTGTACATAAAGAACTTCTAGTGTTAGTTATTTCTTCATAAATATTATTCTTGTTTTATCAGCGAATAGAACTCTCCTCCAGTCATCTATGGTCCAATTTTCATCTGGCTATACTTTATATATTTTTTATTACGGCAGGTAATTACCAAAACTATTCAACGGTACAATAATTTGGAACAGTAGTCTAATTTACTAGCCATAGAAATTTAAAACAGACTTTATTATTTAACTCTACAAAACAAATCCTAAAATAAAATGTTCATGTTCAAAATAAAAAGAAACATTCATGTTCCTACCTTCTTAAGTTATATATCAGTTTATGTGATATTAATGTACCTACACAAACTAAAATTAAAAATGTATGTCTCAAAACCAAAAAACTAAATAAATAACCGTTTTATGGAATAGTTATTTAGGTCAAACCACTCCTAATTATTGTGTATTAATGCATTGAGCCAGTCACTTGCACAAAAGGTACCATTTATTTTTTTTTTAATATCGTTTGTTGTTGAAAACTCGTTTTAAATTGAGAAATATTAAATTATTCTATCTTAAAACATATATTTTTTATTACAGGGTCATTTTTACATCAAAACTACATATAATAATACGATTTTTTTAATGGTGCATTCTTCTCCCACAGTCACATACCTGATACTGCTTATTCATCTTTTTTTAGGCAAGTACGGCCTCATACATAAAGAACTGTTCAGTAAACCTCCGAAAAGACCGAATATATTAAGTTACGAATTCAATCCAGAGGTACCCAATGACAATATTAACAATTTAGGAGGTTTGGATAAAAACGAGATTTGGTTGGCCGAAAATCATCTTTTAGTATTGAAAGGTGGTGGTTTCCCACCCCATGATGATAGAAGGGATAATGAAGAGTCACCTTGGGCCCCCTTAGATAACTACAAAGCCCCGTTGCATCAGGTTTGTATCGAGAAAAGATAGTGTCTAGTAGAAATAATTAAATATCGACTTTTGATTGACAATTATATTGGAATAAAATATTTCTTATTTTGGCGATTAAAAAATAGAATGGGAACGTTATCCATAGCAAAATTAAATAATAATTATTTTAGTTGCAGTTTTTAATTTTCTCACCTAATGTTATTGTTCAAAATAAATGTATTTTTCACCCAAAATTTTTAGGAAATTAATAAAATAGTAAAATTTTTGTTTAGTTTAATACAACTTTATTTAATTATAAAATAGTGATTCACAAACATTGTTTCTAAAATAGGCCATGACCGACAAAGACAGATTCGAATCACGTCTGGAATAACTGCGCATGGCTCTGAATTAAATCCAAACTGACCCTTAAAAATAAGACATTTTTTCCAATGTCTACTTTAGAATCATTTTTGTGGATCACTCCATACAACCCTAGTTTATTAATAAAATAAAATCCAACATTATTTAATTACTTTAGCTTGCTGTTTTAAACATTTAATCTATGTCGCTAGTTTTTGATAATGTATTTTTTGTTTTAGGTTAAAATCCCCAAAAACCCGAAAGTGCCGCCGCCCTTTCCTGTCCAGTTTACAGAAAACGGGCCGCTCCAAATCCTGGGCACAAACTCTACGCGAACGTTTAATGGAACGTACGAAGAAGCCCTCAACGCTATACCGCCCCCCGAAGGTTATCCTCCATTCGCCCCGCCGTTCCTCCCACAACCTTACAATACCGATTCGACCAACACTACTGCCAGGCCAATTGCGCTGCCAGTACCTTTCAACACTCCGGGGGAGTATCCAGCGGGGGTGCCGTTCCCCCCTTCCCTCTTGAACGGAACGTTGCCGCCTTCCTTAAGTTATTTACCCCCAGGCACCGTCGTGTTACCACCACCAGGAAACCAAACAGATTACCCAGATTACGACGACCCGTCGATATACTATCCGCCGCCATACAGCTTTTTTTACCCTAAAGACAATAAATCATTAGTAGCCGCTGGACCTTTAGTACCCGGAATAATTCTACCCCCACCACCGAATTTCTTTGCTCCGTTAGAAGAAACGCACACACCAAACCCAACGCGAAAACCTAACCGTTACAGAAAACCTACCACAACTCAGGTGACTATAATAAAATCTACTAGCTCACTCCCTACTACCAAGAAACCGACATCACCACAAAAGACAGTCAAGATTTACCCAGTAAAGAACCACCAGTACATCAAGGAAATAAAAATAACAACCTCGACAACTCCTGTACCGAAAAAATCGGTTACAGTACTTCCAGAAGTTTTTACTGTACCTCCTCACAGTCTAAAATACAGACCTCCCCAACGAAAGAAACCTGGAATTACTATATTAAAACCTGTTTCGCCTCCTAAAGTCTATGTCTATGAAAATGAAATACCCAACAGGCCATTCAAGAATTATGGACCACCGCCAGAGTTAAATAAAATAGCTGTTACTAGCACCCAAGTGCCTCTTAGATACCATACAACTTCTCACGATATAGAAACTAACTCAGTAAGTGAAGATACTGAACAACGACAAAACTTAAGAAAGGGTAAATTTATTAGAACAACTGTTAAACCAGTACAGTATTACTTCTATGAAGAACAAAACAAAGAATTCGAAACACCTAACAGAGCTCCTAAAACAAATTCCTATTCAGACACCAATGAACCTTACTATGTAAGACCAAAACCTATAGCACCTGTAAGGCAAAGAAGACCACAATATGTATATGTCACTGCGAAGCCTTACAACACTCAAAAGCCTAGATTTAGGTTCATCCAGCAAACCGTTAATCCAGATAGTTACAGTATACACATCAACAATCTTAAAAATCAAATTAATAAGTATTATACGACTCCTAGGACTACATACAGAACCGTTCCAAAGCCTGTGTATCAATTTAGCTTCCAAGCGAATAATTTTCAACAACAGCAGCAAAATCACTTTAGACCTTCACCTGAGGTAAAACAACAGGACCAGTTCCAACCGATACCAGCAAAATACACAGTCGAGATTCAGCAAGCCATTGAAATTGTTCCAACGGAAGCTCCAAACTATCAGAGCAATTCAAGACCAATTTATTACCAACACACTACAGAGAGGCCTTACTATACCACTCCAGTACCTGAGTATAATAGAGAAGTAACACCCAGACCGAAATATCAACAAAATGTTGCTACTCCGAGACCTATATCAGAATATTCATTTGAAGCTACACCAAATCCTCTTTACCAAGGGTACTATACAAAACCTGATGAAAACTATTTTGATGATAGAACGAAGACATACTTTAATATGTTTGGTAGAAAGTTACCAAGTGGGACTACCCCTCTACCAAGGATAGAAGCAAACCCTACACCTCAAGGGTCTTATCAGCAGAGACCCATATCATTAGAGGGAGATACTTTAGTAAATTATGTCCATCCTAGGCCTAATATAAATTCCGAAGCAGAAAGTATACATGTGAAGGATACTCCTAGTTATTCTAATGTAGTAAGGTACCCATCAAGGCATCCCCAAAGTAATCCTGAAGTTATTAAAGCAATACCTATAGAAGTACCATCAAAAGAAACTCAAGATGGATCCTTCATTTCTTATCAGTTACCAGGTGACGATGGAGCTCATTTTTACTTCCTGACACCACAGTTAGCTCAACGTAGGGACCAAGGTGTAGGTTTCTTTTATTCTAAGGCTAGGCGGAGAAGGAATGAAAAGACTATAGACAGATGAAAAAGTAGTGGTTGTGTATTATCCATTTATTTTTGAATAACTAGTGCCTATTTTTCAATTTGGTCTGTGATCGTGTAGCTTTTTGGTGATAAACAGGTAAAAGGATGAACTGTGGATTTTTTAGTGAAGAACAATATTTATATTGTGTGTACATTGGAATTTATGACTGTTTAGATTAATTTTGGCAGATGGTTCTAAAAAGTCAGAACCAGCTGTCAACTTTTTCAGTTAATTTTGTCAAATTATAATGAGTTATCTATATACTGGGCCATTTTCAACAAAAATGTATTTCTAGAATAGGAGAAAACAATTTTTACATACAAATCAAGTAAATGTAGATAAGATCTTCCTAACAAAGTGTGTTTAAAATGTAAATAAGTAATTGTATAAAAATATTTGTTTGTTTTTAAAACTACATCACTTTTTAATTATGCAAATGTACTAATATTCTCGGGCACAGTATATAGTAGTATTATAATGTAAATATAAGAAAAATTTTAATTAAATACTTTACAACAGAAAGTGATCTGTTAATATTATGGTCATATTGATAAATAAATGAAATTATCAAATCTTTATAGAGTAATTTACCGGCACAAAAAGAGCAAACATAATTATTTAAGTAGCTGTCAATCAAGCCTTCTATTTTTTATATTTTCATAAAAATGAACTTTAATAAACATTGACAGTTCCTATGAAATGTAAATTATGCTGTTAAATAATTAAAAATCATTAATAAAGATTTTTTTATTTATAAATTATATATGTTTATTTAAATATTCAATTTAATAACATTATACCTGAAGAGGTCTTTACAAGGTGTTCACAAAAATGCGTTCCTTAAAGGCATGCGTATTTATAACAAACAAGATTTAACTTTTTTTTTTTTCATAAAGACATCCGTTTATCCATCTGTATCTGTAACGTGTGCGGGTTGAGTTACCCCACGGCACTTAGACCTCACTAGGCCCATTGTGCATCCTCCTAAGATATAGCTCGTGAGCCAGCCTACAGATTTAATGTAGTTGACAACTTTGCCAAGAGGTGCTTCTATTATATCAGCCGGTGTCAACGCCGATACTCGCAGAACACAAATCTTCTAATAAATGAGAGCGTCGTGCAGTCGTAGAGGATATGCTTCTTGTTCGCACCCCTGCAGAGTGCAGATTCTGACAACCTCATGATATGGAGATGCTTCCGTACTTAAGAATGACCAGTCAGAATGCCTGTGACCAGGCACATATTCTGTCTAGTTATAGTCAAGTATCTGTTTGATTAAGTGTTGACAGGATAATTTAAAAGCTCCCTGGCAACTCTGCAGTTTTTTGTTTCATCCTATCTTTCCTTGAATTTCACAAGCGAATGTTTTTTAATAAGGTCTGTCACTACCGATTTTGTCAGGCCAATAGAAGGGCCAGATCCAAAAAGTATTTGGTTGTCTGCTTTCTTGAAGTGACCACATTATTGATGGATACTTTGGCCAAAGCTTCGTGACATTCTAGTAATAACCCTGAGTAAATTCGTTCTGTTCAGGATGAGTAGTGCTTGTCTGCTATCTGTATAGATGAGCATTTTCCTACCAATGATATTGTCTCTGGTTATTTCTGTTTGAACTACACTGGCACTATTATTGTTCACTGCCTATTTTATGTTTAGGTTTAAGGATCTGGAGTATAATCCACATCCTGAGCCTTGTTTTGTTTTAGAACTGTTGGTGTAGATATGAATCATTCCTGAAACTTCTGACTCTTCTATTTGTTCTGTTCTTATGGAAGATATATCTCTGTGAGATGGAGTCCCTGTTCGCTTGAAGCAGTGGGAGCGTATCGAGCCCCACCTGTCAAAAGCGACGTCTCGCCTTACAAGATCTTACATCAGATTCTATACCAACCATGCAGAGGCATATCATTATCATCAGAGCATCCCCCTTGATGTAAATATCAAGAGGAGTGAGACTAAGAATGACCTCCATGGCTCTGGTCGGTGTGGTTTTAATGCCTCCTGTTATGTTGAGACATGCTGCTCTTTGAATTTGTTCTACTTCGCAAGTATCTGTCAATTTTTGGGTTTTCGGTACCCAGACATCTGCACCATATGTTAGCATAGGTCTTATGATGGCCGTGTAAGTCCATGTGACGACTCTGGGGAAGAAACCCCAGGTGCGCCCCACGGTTCGGCGGCATTGTTCATAAGCAATGTATGCTCTTTTGATACTGTTTTAAGTGTGAGTTCCATGTTAACTTGCTGCCAAAGGTGAGACCTAGGTACTTCACCTCTGTTGCAAAGTTTAATTTTGTGTTTAAGATTTCTGGAGGTTTCAATTTCATTGTCATCCTTTTCCTTGTGAAAAGGGCCATTTCTGTCTTCTTGGGATTTATACAGTGTTCTATAATTTTAAGAGCAGAGTATGTTCTCAAAATTCCCTTGATTAAGTAAATACTTGATTGGTGAATTATATAGGGCAATTTTAAAAGATGAACAAACAATGTTTTGAAGTTAAAAATTTTATCAAACTTAAATTCAGTGTCACTTTATTTTTTAATGTTTACAATAAAATCATGTCTTGTTTTGTGCCGTACTGTACTAATACTACAGTGAAGAATATTTATTTACTTTTAAATGAAGACTGAAGAGAAACATGAAGCAAGAATATCATGTGCAAAAAACTTCAATATCTTATTTTTGTTGTAAAGACCATTTTGATGTAAGTTTTTATTCATTAAATATTAGAAACATAATAAAAAATCTTTATATTTCATTTTCAGTTCAGAAAAGATGAGAGGATATTTTATCATAAAAAAATGTAAACACATCTTTATAATAAATTGTTCTGAATCATATTCCTCGTAGAGAATCAAATTGGATGACACTACAGAATTCTACAACACACAAATTAGATGTTGAAATCCATTGGTTAAGGAAATTTTCATATCTAAAATATGCTATTATTGAACATTATTCATTTATTGCATACACAGATTTTATTTTTAGTATAGTTTGTACTTTGTACAATTTGGAGTCAAAATTAATTAAAACTTTTTGACTATATTCAGTTTCGTCAAAAAATGTCTGTAATTGAAACCGCGTTTTAAAGAGAATTCTCACGAAAGAGGAGTGACAAAGTGAAGAACCTAATGAAATTATTTTTTGTACACCAGATTATTGAATATTATAAATGTATTTTTAAAAAATTATATCTGACGATGTTCCAGATCAATGTTGCGAATAGTATCTTATAAAGTTGTGTACAGTAACCAGAATTACATTAAAACTGAATATGAATTGAGAAATCGAATTTTTGAGGTAGCCATGATTGTGTGCAATAATTCAATTACATTTTGTAAAAAATTAGTTACATTCTTCATATAATTGTTTACATAAGTAATACTTTGTAACGAGGCACTATTATAAGAAGCTGTGCCCCTGATAGCTAGGCCACTGACACTACTACTAACCCGATAACCGTCATCGATATGCATCCGACGAGCCTCCAGGTACCCCTCACCCAATGTCGCTAGTTCCGTGCTACACCTACGCAGGTAACGGATAAACATGACCAAGGCGAGCGAAACCCCAAACGGCATCATTCACTGATCAGATCCACCTCCAATTATAACGACTGCTTCCCCGTAGCGGAACGGTCTATACAACACGAGGCGCACAGGGTTGATAATCGACGTCCCGTGCGGATCATTATATTCAAAGACAATTTTAGTTATAACCTAGTACATTATACAGTGAGAATCTTAAGTCTAACCCCCCCTAACTAACTCGTTACTGGAGTCTTGTTAGGAAAATTGCCGAGACAGGTCGATTTTTGTTTTCTACAATGTACATTTTTGTATGATTAGTTTACCCTTAATTTCATCCCTTACTCGAGGGGAACAACCCTTTCGAAAAATTTAAATGGCATGGGGTGGTGAGTGATAGCTCATTTGAAAGGGGGTTTTATTCTCTATTCAACCGTGCAAAAAAATTTTAAGTTTGCTTCATTACGTGTTGATTAATTAATGTTTAAAAATAATAAAATCTCACAAAATAGGAAAGCAACTAAACTAATAGTGACCTTCTAATGGCAAAAAGTCTTACTTTACGTCTGAACCAAAACCGAAATCATGCAGGGCCGAATTTTAATTCTAAGGATGAGTGTGCTACGTTAATTTCCGTTATTCTGAAACAAAAATTAGTCGAGAATTAATGAAGCAAATTTCAAAATTTTTTACATGGTTGAATAGAGAATAAAACCCTCTTTCAAATGAGCTATCACTCACCACCCCATGCCATTTAAATTTTTCGAAAGGGTTGCTCCCCTCGAGTAAGGGATGAAATTAAGGGTAAACTAATCATACAAAAATGTACATTGTAGAAAACAAAAATCGACCAGTCTCGGCGATTTTCCTAACAAGACTCCAGTAACGAGTTAGTTAGGGGGGGGGGGTAAGACTTAAGATTCTCACTGCATATATTTTCTTTAATACATTTGTTATTTAGTAGTTCATGTTATTATTTTATTTTTGTGTAAAGGAAACCCAAGGGGAATCTAGAGGACCTTTACAACTTTAGTTATTATCGACAATAAATAAAAGTAACTTTACATTTAAAATCAACAATCTGGGAAGCGATTTTGCCAATTGTTGCATTCTTCAGATTTTACCGAATTGTTAAAACAAATATTGTCGATATTCTAGAGGTGTTAAAAATGGTTTATTCTAAATACCAAAACTGTATTAGTATGTAAAAGGAATGCCCTATTTTCCGAGATAACTATTACGGATCAAATATTGTAAAAATAGAATTTGAAGGTAATTAAATAATTTTTATGCAATTAAGTATTTAGAATATCAATTAAAAAGTGTTACTACTCTTCCTATTCTAAATAATGATATATTCTGTCCTTTCATTATGAAATTTTTTTAAAAAGAAATAATTTGTTTGGACTGTATTTTTCTAGAATGTAAATTTTTATAAAGTAAAACAAAAATGTAATATGGTAATGTTTGCTATTATTTTAAATGATAAAATATTTTTCTTAGGATGTGAAACAATTTACTTATAAAAAAAATTATATAACCATAAGATAATATGGACTATAAAAAAGCAGCAAGGACATGAATTATATACTTATTTAATAAATATTGGTACTGAAGAAAGGTATAACAAGAAATTTGATATTACCATGAGAACAAACGGTATAATTATTGAGTTCATTATTATTAATGTATGCAGTGGACAACTTTATTATATAAGATATTCTAATAAGAATATATAAGTACTTACTACATTTTTTTTTAATTAATTCCAAAGGCTATAATGTATTTTATTTATTTTTTATTAAAATGTTAGTTATTTTTAGATATTATTTTTTTTTTCAAATAAAGCATATTTGATTTGACTTAAGGTTTAAAATTACTTTTATATGTTGCTCAATTTATTTTACTAAATATTACAATCTGACCTTATGGAAACAATTTAACAAATAAATTAACTTTATTAATGAGTACCAAATTTGTTCTTTAATACCATTTTAAATCGGAGAATATTTTGAAACAACAATTAATTTAAAATTAGCTTAATTTTTTAATAATTATTACAGGGTGTCCCAAAAGTCACTAGCTAATTTCAAAATTCAATAACTTCGGGCACATTGATTTTTTTAAATTTTGTTTCAGATTTAGAAAATAGAAGCTTGGGAGATTTGTTATGAAAAAATTCAGCGCTGAGCAAAGAGTCGCTATCGTGGAACTCTATTTTGAAAACCGACGATTGATTGTCAAAACCCAAAGAGCGTTTTGCAGACGCTGCAGAAAATTCGCCCCCAGCAATGACTATATGCAACTTAATTGCACGGGTCTTTAGCCGACCTCCCTCGAGCCGGTCGCCAGAACAGAAGAAAATATTGAGCACGTGGTGGCCAGCATAGAAGATGATGCGAAAACATCCATTAGTCGACACTGTACTCAGCTAGGGCTCTCCCGTTTCAATCTGCATAGAATTTTGAAGCATTTGCCCATGTTTGCCTACAAAATACAGCTTGTTCATCAACTGCGCCCCATAGATTTTGGACAATGAATTGAATTCGCTATTCGTTTTTAACAGTTGTGCAGAGAAGAAAATTATTTTCTGAACAGATTAATCATGAGCGACGAAGCCCACTTCCATCTGAATGGCTTTGTTAACAAACAAAATGGTCGGTTTTGGGGAACAGAAAACCCAAGAGTGATTCATGAGCGAGAACTTCATCCAATAAAGTGTAAAGTTTGGTGTGGAGTTACCAGTCAAGGCATCATTGGACCTTTATTCTTCGAAGATGAAGATGGCAATGCCTGAGACCGTTACTGGAGAACGATACAGAGACATGCTCCAAAATTTTGTACGGCCCACTTTAGAAAACATGCCAGAGATGTGGTTTCAGCAAGATGGCGCTATTGCCCACACTGCCAGAGCAACTTTTGAGCTCCTAAGAGAAATTTTTGGCCACCAAATAATTTCAAGACATTCAGATATTCCGTACCCTGCACGTTCGCCTGATGTAATAGCCCCAGACTTTTATGTGGGGATATCTGAAAGAAAGAGTTTATGCAAATAAGCCCAGAACTCTTGAGCAACTGAAGGAGAACATTTGAAATGAAATAAGAATTTTAAATCAACAAATTCTAGCAGCTGTTATGCAAAATGCACTAAAAAGAGCAAGAATGTGTCAAGCGGAAAATGGAAGGCATTTGAAGAATCTAATTTTTAAAAACTAGGTCAAAAATATCTCCATGAATTACTCTACTTTTGTGTTAAAAAGTTTTTGAGAATAAAAAGTATTTAGAAAGTTATATGAATTTTATATCAGCTAGTGACTTTTGGGACATTATTATCAACTGTTCCCAAACCCAGATTCTGTTTGATTAGTAACTAACTTGATCCTAAGTTATCTATAAATCATTACATTTCTTTGGCAAGAATTTTATACTTTCTCGCTGACAAGTCATAATAAGGACGAAACGGGTCCAAAAATGGCGTATCAGCAAGCAAAATCAAAGCTGATGGTTTTTTCGGATATAATCAAATGCCTGTTGTTTTATTAGACAAAGGCGCAGTTATTTTCCAGAAGAAAACGATCGCCATATTATTTTATGACAGGGCTTTGAAATTGTATTGTTTTTCTTCTTTATTTTACATCTTTGTTTGAATTCACTCTAAATCACTCTATTAATTTTAACCAATAATATATAAAGAAATAAATAAATATGTAAATTCTGAAAGCAAATTATAAATGTCTAAACCTGGACCACTTTTTTTTGATAAACTTTCATTTACTTTCCAATAATAATAAACAGTGTAAATATTTTTCACTTACCTGTATTTAACTCCTGTTCAGCACTTTCATCTTTCAATGGTTCATCGAATAGATGCAGGTAGACCTCGATTGCACATTTTGCTGCTTTGAAATAAAATGGATGACCCCTAAGTACATCCTCTAATCGCAGAAGGCCAACATATGAACGGAGAGTCATTTTTCTCATGCAATATGTGTGGAAGTCGAACTGATCTTCAATTATCTCAGAAAAGTGCTGAAAGGAATAAAAAATTAATTTGTCATAATAACGTTATTTGCGTATTAAAACTCGACAATATATGAAATCATTTTCTTTCTCTTTCACTGTTACGGAAATTATTAATTTAATACTTATAGGATTGTTCCTTTGAATTTTGAACTAATGGATAAATAAACAATATAATTATTATTATTATAGCATATTTAACAAATTTTCAAGCATTTGCGTCAATTTTGCTTTATTACTTCTTACTCTGTATATAGTCTAATCAACAAGTTCAAAAGCGTGTTTTTGGGACATACTATTACGAAAATGATGTTCAATAGATCATTCGATTCGGAATAATGTCTAGATCAATGTGCGAAGAAAAATTTTGCAGTGCATAAAAAATTGCAAAAGTTATAAACAATTAAACACCTCAAAAACATGGTGTTTGGTTTTTCGCCTATAGTTTGTAAACTATAAATATTTTTGGATTTTTCAAAAAAGATCCTTGAAAAGGAAGAAATTCGCTATAAATAAGTTCCGACTCCCGGAACTGTACCTCCATTATTTATAATTTTAATTTAACGCTCAAAGTAGCCTTCCGCGCGCCAAATAATTGTAACATTTTAAATTTTAGTTACTCTAATAGGGTGACAATTTAGAACATTATCTGATATTCACCTAATTCATTGTAATCCACTGTCACTTCTTGACATTAAATTTCCAAACTACCTTTATTTAAACAGATTATTTGATTTCTTACATTTTTGTCATTCAAAAAAAAGGTATATAGAAGTTACTGTGCTTACCCTATCAATTTCATGACATTTTTTCAACGAATCTCCGTATTTGCCCAACCTTTGGTACGCCAGCGCACATTCAGTTTGGAACCACATGCATTGCATCTCATTAAGATTTTCCATGGCTGAAACGCCTTCCCTCGTGAACTTTCCGCAAGTATCCTCGGCTTCTTTGATATAATCGGCACGTAACATGTACTTAGCACATTTAGAATTGATATAACGGTCAGCTGTATCAAGCGCCTGCGCCTCATCCAGCCATTTGTAGGCTTCTTGGGGATCCCCAGCATGCTGAAATAGAAATTGAGTATAGACAGAGTAGAAAAATTGATTAATCACTACTAATGTTAATAATCTAGTAATTTGAACATTTTCAGACTCTTTTGGGGATAAAAGAGTTGAAGTTACTTTATGGATAAAACGTTATTGTAAGTTAATTTTAAAAATGGAAGTGAACTAAACCTTAATTAACCTTATCAACTGATTCTATGGAAGCTATTATTTAGAATTCGTCATCCAAAAGTGTGACATTTTAGAAAATATTGTTAGTAGGCTCCTTCACTTGTTACTTCTTGTTAGTCTTGCTACTATATGTGATAGTAATTTATTATAGGTGGGCATTAAATTTGTTTGTTATAATTTATATATCTGACATCTTAAAACGAAATTAGCGTTTATTCAGAATGGAATTTCCTTTTCGTGGCCACCAGCAAATTTCAATCTCTATTTATTGTTGTATTTATGATTGCAATTCAAGATTGAAAACAAGTCAACAATCAAGTTTACATAATTTTTCAAACAAACATAAACAAGTATTTTTTTAATGAGCATTATATTGTACCTGATCTAAATAGATCAGTAATATTAACCTAAATGAACTGAAAGCCTAAAATTAAGAAATCACCCTATCATCTCTTGGTTTATTTTCTTCCTTATTTGTGCTAATCACACTATTTCACTGTGTTCTGCTTTTTAAATACTTGCACTATTAACAAAGATCTGTAGGTTTTGTCCTAGCTTCGTGTTTTTTGGCATACCATTTTGTGTCATCTACGTATAAAAGGATATTAGAATTAATAGGTTTAACTAGATCACTGGTATACAAAAGGTTTGTTCCAACACAAACCAAATCAGTTTACGAACTATCTGGATTCTGCTCACTCTAGAATTTGTGTTCCAACAAAACTGTACAAAAACATAGTGTTCCAACACAACCAAAACTAACCACACTCCGATTTGTGTACTGTCAAATAAGTTGCTGGAATCCTGAAAATTTCTTGATTCTATAGTCTCTGACAGCTCTGATTTGTATTTGTCAATCGAGTTTAGTCTTCATAGTTTATTAAAAATGTGTTCCAACATAACTGAGTTCCGGATTGAGTCCCAGTCCCCGACAGGTTGTCAATTACTAGTTGTCGACAGATTATCAACAATAAGTTGTGGATTGGTTTATATATGGTTCCAAGATTGTTGTTGGAACAAACCTAAAACAAACAACAATCGTACTAAAACTGTTGCTTAGGAACTGTTTAGTCCATCTGCTGAATTCATTAGTGGCTTGTAGCGTTTGAATGGATTAATCTGCGTTTGATCTTATTGCTCGAATAGCAGTGTCATCAGCAAATATAGCTATTTTGGCATTAATAATTTCTGGTATATAGTCGGTAAATAGTAGATAAAAGACAGGACCAAGGACGCCACCTTGTAGTACCCCTGCTTTAGTTTGTTGTAATATTTCTCCTCTTGTTTTACCCTGTAAAATCTATATGTTATGTACGATTCCAGAAGTTGTATATACTGCATTTGTCCCAATTTGTCCTTTATGCCAGACTTTATCAAACTCCTGTGCAATGTCTAAGAACAATACCGAACACACCTCTTTCTCTTCAGTCTTTCCCTATTAGATCAGTAATCCAGTGAACTTGATCTATTGTGGAATGTTATGTTTTAAATCCGAACTGATGGTATTGTATGATTTAGGTTCACTTGGTGGTTTCCCAGGTTTCAGGATTATAATAACTTCCACAATCTCCATACACTTGGTACATGCTTCAATGGAAAAGATGCATTCATCAAACTTATAAGTTGAACAAAGTTTTTTCTTGGGAGTTTCTTTACAGTCCTTCTACTATAATGAGATCATAACCAGGAGCCTTTTTTGTTTAATTTTATTTCTCTAGTAACTGCTTTTGAATTAACAAGTTTTATTTCTTTTTCTTCTATTGATGTATCCTCTAGATCATCCATCCATCTGATTCATTAGGTTGGATGATTTTCTCCAGGTGTTCTGCAAATAGATTCGCTTTTTAGCCCATCATTCTTCTTCTGTTCGTATGGGGTGCAATTTGGATGATTAGTTTCTTCAATTTCTTTGTTTCCTTACAAATACGAATTAAAATATTGATTTTTTAGTTCTTATATCTCTTTTTAGTCGTTGAGAGGGTCTAGTGTATACATTCTTATTTTTGGAACTTCTAGTTTGCTGCTATCTTTCCCTGGCTTCTGTTTTTTCTGCAGTTATATTGAGAATTTCTTTTGGATATGGATCACACATTTTCCTATTTATGTTTCTAGTTGTTCTACTGGTTGCAACGGAACCTTAAGTTTTATTCTCTTTTAATTCGCTCTGGAACTTGTTAAATAAGGTTGGTTTAGTAATATGTTCACTGTCATTATTACTGAAGCATAATTAGATGTGAGATCAAATGATTCCTCAAATTTTATATAATTAATTAATTAATTACCCATTATATTCGATAGTTTTTTTTTATTTATTCTTTATAAACATAAATCTTGTTGAATTGATATTTTGTAGGCATCTAGATAGGTATAGTAGAAACTTATTTCGGTAAGATTTGGCCACAGTCATTTTTAGAGGGTTTATTTATCTACTTATCTGAAAACATGAAGCAATATACAGATAAGACAATTTTCGCTTCTGTACAGGTGCTGAGTCATATCTTTGTATTATTTTTGTACCTGTGCTTTATTATCAGAAATTGCTTGGTAATGTATAATTATTATAAAGTACTTATTATTCTGTATTAGGCAAGGCCGTGCTTTTACAGCGAACATGTGGCAGCTATGATATCCTCGCTATCGCTATGCTTTCAGTTCGCCTAATATCCCACCACTATATCTTCTAATTCTTGTCTATTACTGACTGTTGCCATTTTATAAACTTGTATACTAGTTGTATGCCTAACACGAAAAAATAAGCACTGTATATTAAGAAAACCAAATTATAGTGATTTTCTTCGAAATTTTCAAAAATTAATTTGATTTAGACATTATTGTTATTAAGTAGGTAAATAAATAACCCGTTAATTCTGACTACTACTACTACTGCTGGTATTAATTATATTGAATTCGAAGTACGATTCTGTAAACAACCTGTAATCTAATCGGGTAGATGGTGGTTTTTTTTTACAGTATTTGAGTGACTTAAAACAACGTTGCCACATTAGGTATACCTTTATATAGATTTTCCAGTCAAATTCCGTGACGACTATAAGCATGTCTAACAAATTTCGTCTATTATATATTACAAATATAAAGCACAAAAACAAAACGTATATATCTAAATGTACATATCTATCATCAAAAATTCAAAAACACTAATATTTATCTAAAAACAATTAAAAAGCGAAAAACACACACATTTAAGTAAATAATTTAAAATCAGCACAGTCGAGAAGTTAAAGTTGCTTTATTCTCAATAATATTTACATACTTTAGTTAAAGTATTAGCTAAAAATGGTTTTGAAACTCGATTACTGTAAATATTGTTTAAAGTTGTAAAGTTATTTTAATTACTTCATTATACGAGGAACAATGCTAAAGTTCGCGGAAAATGTAAAACAAAACACAAATTACATTATGTAAATTGCTTTTACATTTCTCAAAATAATCCCCTTTAAAATATATACACTTTTGCATAGAATGAAGCCAATCTTCAAAAGATTTTTTCCAAACAAGGTACCTCTCAAACAAGTGATTTAAATGCTTCAACGGCTTTTTCAGGTGATTCAAAACGCTCGTCACGCATTTTATTTTTAATCTATCAGAATAACTCAATGGGTATTAAACGAGGTGATTATAGGCAATTAATCATTAATTGGATGTTATTGATCAAAAACTAGACAGGTCGTCTTGCTGTGTGAACACTTGTCTTTTCATGATGATGAATGATTCACTAATTACCAGCAAACAATTTGAATTAATTGCATTAATTGTCCTTATATCCTCGAATGTAACAGTTACAACATGGTACGTACCACTTTCGTTGGTTTAAACAAGCAATATTTTTTTGGTTTTTAAATGTATCCCGAACTCACCACGTTTGTTGGTTTATGTTCATTTTGAAACACCCATACAGTTGATTGCTGTTTAGTTTCAGGCTCATAAGAATATATCCAAAATTCGTTTTCTGTTGCAATGGTATATACAGAATTTGAACAACCAGCTTTAAATTTCTTTGAATCATTTGACACGTACTTAGTGATTGAGCAAAATCGTATGTATTTGTTTCGCCCAATGCCTAAAGATGCTTCTCACTATATATGTCAAATTACCAATCTAATAAAATCATTTCAAACATTGGTTTTCCATGCTTGAATTCTGCGAATTATTAGTAAACCAGTTTTCAATGGTGCTTCACCCCAAACACATTGCCATGTTAAATGATATCGAAAATCATAAAAAAATCCTCATTAAAGAATCACTACTTGAAATTTAAATTTTTTACACAATTAATTAACTTCTGTTAAAACGAAACTGCTTGGTTTAAAAAAGAACTGTCAACTGTAGGATAAAAACGGCAAATTTTATAAAAGGCTTCCATTCATGCTCAAATGCTGGGAAGTGAATGTATTCTATGGAGCCAGCAAATCCATGATCTTAGCATGGATAGCTTATATGGCCACAGTTTTACCGATCATAGGGAATATTACCTTTCCATCTCTTCGAGTGTACCTTGTATAGGTGGATGCTTTAAGTACATTACTATACAATATGATAACAAACACATCAACCAAAATAAAGATTGCTTAATTATATTTGAAATTGAGAGCTATAAGAAGAATATATTGGCTTAAGCATGCCCTTTTGATAGCAAGGATGGGATATTGTGGTCCACAGTGCACAAAACATAATTCTATTTCTGTCAATTCAGTAGTGTTGTTTCCATATCGTTTTCCTGGAGTCAGTATTGGAATATAGAGAAATGTACTTATAATCGTTAAAATAGTGGCCATATCTGTATATCTAGACTGTATCAAGATATTTTTAAGAAAACCACCATGATATTCGAGCCGTAAAAGAGCAGTAAATGAAACACTAAATAATGATCAACAAATAGTGTTGCATCATTAAGAAGGATATACATCTTCATATGTTGAACATAGTCACACTAGTGGACCAAAACAAAATGACTTATTGCATCACTTAAGAGGTCGTAATACAATTAAAATAGTTTGAAAATGCCAAGATTCCATTTTGTTTAGATATTTATTTTAAAAACTAATAAATGTCACTTATTTACTTACCTACTGTGACACCTAATGGTATAGGGGAACATTTAAATATATTATATTTAAATTCATTTATCTTTTTATTCACCTACCTTATATATTCTGCCTTTGACAACGAAAAGCTCTATTAGTGTTGGCGTATGTTCAATAGCAGCATCAATATAACTTAATGCCTTTTCAGTCTGTTTTAGGTAGTCATAATGTTGGGCCAAATAATAATATACCCATAAAAGAGCACTAGCAGGCTCCTTTGGTCCGTTATTTACCTGCAAATAATATAAATGAACATAAACAATTATTTAGGATTGGCCTCTAGCCAAAAAATGTATGTTACTTGATATCAAAACATTACTATTTATATTTGCAATTTCCGAGCTGTTTGTTTTTATTGGTAAAACCACTCATTAGTGTTAATAAAACGGATTTATGCAATTTATTAAATAATGCTATTATTAATAGATTCTTGATTTGAGTGAAATGCATAGTCTGAAACGACTATTGAGTAAATTAGTTATTATTTGTGAATTTCCAGTGTAATTAATTATTATTGATTTAAATCCTTACTGTACTTACTGGTTAAAACATTTTTACTAACCTCTAATTCATGATACTTTCCTGTTTTCTTCAATACTTCAACGTAATGAAGGAGGAGTGATTCAATTATTTCTATTTTTGTTTTGTCAGAGTATAAACTTCGTAAGTCTACAAATAAAGGAGGTACACCTTTGGACAAGGCTTTTCTCATATACTTGTCAACTAAATTTCTAAATTCACCACCAGTGGCATAATTTAAAGGCAGTCTTCGTGGAGGCATCGCTCTGGGGTACTTTTCAGAGTAATTCACATAAAAATTTACAATTTCTTGACCATTTTCCAACCTATTAAAGATATTAATAAATTAAAGTTGTTGATGCCATTGATACCAATTTAAAAAACATATATATAAAAATAAAAAGGGACTACTATAAGTGTTTTTTAATATTGAAAATTTTAAACAAAAAATCTAATGTGTACTAAATAATTATAAAAATTTTTTAATTAGTGTTTGAATATACACTTAACTCTTTTAAACATAAAAAAGAACTAGTTTAATTTTTCTTTATCGAGTTTGTGGTTATTGAATCATTTAACAAATATTTTAATTTATTTAAAATATATACATGCCTTTTTGCCTGAAGTAACTTATTATAATAAATTGTATTTTCAGGATTTCTTTGTATCAGTTCTTCATAACACTCAGCAGCTTTCTCGAATTGTTTAAGTTTAAGAAATAAATCACCTAAATTTTCTTTCAAAGTTAACTTGTCAACTATTTGATCTTGAGTGGAATCAAGATGTTTCAAAGCCTCTTTAAGATCACCGGATTCTTGAATAATGAGGTTCTGGTAAAGAAGAAGTTCACTATGTTCATAATCAAAATTGTTTCCTTTCTGAAAAGTTTAAAAACAGAATTAAAAGTAAATTAATTTTTTTTGTTAAATGATTATATTAATAATTCCAAAATCATACCTGTTGTTCCAAAAACGTTTCTAATATATTCAATGCATTTTTATATTCTTCTAATAAATGGAAAGACATAGCGTAACCAATCCAGGAAGCTCTTTGTGTGGGTCTAAGCATAAGTAATTGATATCTTGTATCCTAAAATAAAAGTCAAAATAAAGCTCACTTGTAAAATATACAATTAGAAATATGTCCTGAAAGATCCTACCAAAACCATTTCTCATTCAGTCTATAGATGCTAAATAATTTGCATTGAATACCTAATAACAGTTTTAGAAATCATCTTCCTATTGTTTTAAGCTTTTCAATTTGGAAATGCCAGCAAGAATAAGAGATACAAAATGAAAAACTTATAGAAAGGACAGAAAACAAAATAAGCATGTCCAGTTTGGATGACATATGGGTAGAACAATGTCTTTAATAAATTATCTGCTCAAAAGTATTTTGATAAACCCCCTATAAAACACTATATTTGATTTGAAAATTATTGAAAAAATAAACTCCTGTACGAACAGGCATATCTCAAAATAACAAGATTTGAGTAATTACAGTTTAAAGATTTTTATTACCTTCAATCTGGATTTTTTTAACTTTAAAAATTGCTTAAAAAATTCTAATAACATAAAATGTGTCAATGCCAATATATAACTATATAAATACCGAAAAAGCCTTTTAATGGACCTAACTCAAATCCAGGAATTTTTGAGATATGTCCCTTTCATGTTAGCAACGAAATCTGCAAATCAATGAAAACACCTTTATTTAAAAAATGATATCATCTGTAGTCAAAACATGTAATTTTTTCTACAGCAGATGCATCCTTACCCTGCACTTATTTGGTTTCAAAATTAGTTATTACTAGGCACCAATTTTGGAATCATTTAAAAATATGAGCAAGTGTCTAGGGAAACACAAAATTTTAAGATAAAGATCAGTATAATTGAATAATACATCAAATATAAGATCTAAGCTACTTCTCTGTGGGAAACCTAACAGAGCTGTGGTTTGGTTAGGAGATGAAAGAGACAGGAAGAGTTTTTTAGGCTGTTTTTAAGTTACATAAGCTTGTTGAACTGTTACTCATCAGAATAAACGAATGCTAAAAGGGTTAATGGAACTTGACTAAATAACTACAGCTAATGGTGTTGAGTTAAAGTTGTATTTTTAGCAGTAAACGGATACATTCTATTAGGTATGAAGTAACGTTTAAAAAATCTTTGAATATGATAGCATAGTGTCTATAACTACATTATAATATCAGATTAGGCCCAAATGGCATATTTAGTTTGATGAATCAAGAGGATTTTAAATACACACAACATATATATCCAATATCCTAAATAAATTTATGAGTTTAGGATTATTTTACTTTCTTTCTGTCAATTACATAATTTATATCAATATTACTGTTTAATACTTCAAAAACTCCATATACTTAACTATACCCATTTAAAAATACTAATAGTTCAACTTACCCTGTACCCTTCCAAATCACGCATCTGTATTTGCAACAAAGACAAATCTCTAAGGATTTGAATGTTATCCTTTTCCCATTTAAGAGCGTTTCTATAGCATTTGATAGCTTCGTCATATTTTTTGTCTGACCTCTGAAGGAGTCCATATACATGCCAACACACATGAGATTTTAAATCATTTCTTAAACCTCTTCTAACATATTCATAGGCTTCTTCCTTTCTTCCTAAACAGTTTAGGGTTAATCCCTTCATCGCCAGGGTTTCTAAAAATGCATATAAATCAATTATAAGAACAGGGTTCCTTTAAAGTAAAACTAACCTCCATGTTCTGTGTATTTTGGATTTGAAAGGATTTGCTTGGCAAATTTCAACCCATTTTTGTATTGTTTTTGCTCGTAACACCTCTATAAATCATAATATAAATTTAAGGAATGATGCATTCGAAATTTTAAACAGAGGGAGCCTCAACCAAAAAATGTTTATAGAAACCTAACAATTCAAATTTTGATGCTAAATAAATATTAACGTTTGAGATCATATTAATATTAGCATTAAGACTAAATTAAAAAATGTAAAACATTAATTTTTAAGCATTATATATTTAGGAAAGGTTTATTTTGACAAAAATTTGAATTGTTAGGAATTTGGGAGGCAGATACTAACCAAAATTCTTTTAAATAAGGCATTTTCTTTGGGTGGTAAAGGGTTACTAGAGGGCATTTCTAATTTTTCACTAAAACTGTGAACGATTTAAACCCGGTGAAACTAAATATACAATTTTTGAGGATTATTAAAACCTCGTGGTTACAAACTTCTCCAATGTCGATCGTGGTCACGTGACCCAGAGTGACAAGTGACAATATTGACAATAGTGACAATTGACAATAAGTTTGACATATGTCGGAGGTACGTTCGATTTCCATTCGCGACACTCCTAATAAAATTAATTTCAAAAATAAATTCATAAGAATGTTTTTAAGTTTGTCACAGCATCCATATTAATAAACGTTACATGTGTAAAATTATCGGAAACTGTGAGGGCTCATCAACATTAACAATAATTTATAATTTAATTGTGCGATTCCCATTATTTATAAAATATGAAATTGTTTATACGAGGGCTGTTCTGTTTTATTTTTGCAACAAATTTTGTATAAAATTTCAATCTAGTTGTTTACAACTTTATGTAACGTTTATATTTATTTTAAACAGTTTATTATTTATTTATTTATTTAAAATTACATTTACTAAATTAACAATATATTTATCTCAAATACTTATTTTCTATGTCAGCCCTCTTAATTTTATATAGATAATTTACTTTACGCAACAAAATGTTTCTATTGACTCGTGTCACAGCAACACAAGCCCTTTACATAAAAAGACGAAAACTCTCCGAAGTCTCCACCAAAGTTTCTTCGCCAAAAGTTGCAATTTGGTATGATTTATTGAACATTCTAATGTATTCCAGACTATTGATCAGCGTTGGCCTAGGCGTCCCATTTACTATAGTAACATTAGGTTGGGTTTCGGATGTTGACTTATTTCTTTGAATATTTTTGGTAATCGGACGAGTGGGTCTGTAAAGGCCGAAACAATAATGCAGAGACTGCAGATAGTGATTAGAGCATGACTAGACTGGTGGAAAATGGCTCGCATTACATTTAGTGACATGCAGTTGGCAAATGTATCTGATTGTTTGAAAGTTACAAAAAGTTTAAAGTAATCCATTCGCCAATAAGTGATGGAAATGAACAAGGAGCATTATATCGGGCTCTGATTTTTTACAATTTCAAGTCTGGCTTAAACCGAAATCAATGGAGTACTTGGTGGCAAGTCATGTTCCTTTGCTACCGTAAATCGGTGATACCATGAATTTCAACGTGGTCGACTCTCCCTAAATGGCAGTTTTTAAGCAACTATATAAGCCAAAAACGGCAGTTACAAAAAAATATTGATCTTATTAGGAACATGATTAAAGAAGACCTGCACATTATATAAGGTAAATAAAATTAAGGCCACCAAAAAATTTATGTAACAATTAAAAAGACATTAAGTTTGAGAGTTTAACTAAATATTTGCATATATTTTCAAAGATTTTAGATTTAAAAATCTGATGTGTCCAACACATGACTTTCCTATCTAGGTATTACAGGCTTTTTCCGGTTATTTTGTACAATCTATTGCAGCATCTCTATAAATGTTTAGAGGATAAACTAAATATATACATTGTCCACATACATCTACCGCGAAACAATTTTCTATAGATATTCATTGAAAATTAAAATACTGAAAAATTTAAATTTAGCACTTTTCCTACAATTTTTCCATTACGGTCCATTTTAAAAAAATCATGTATAAACAAATATTATAGAGATCGATATCGCAAACAACTTTTATTTCAACAATTTTCATAAAAATCAGAATTTTGCACATTTTGTCAAATTTTTCGAATACGGACCATTTCAGGAAATTTTTACATAAAGCAAAAATTATAGATAATAATATTAGAAGTAACTTTTATTTGAACAATTTTTTTCTTCAAACATAAATAACAGATATATTCCATAAAATATAAAAACGGCCCCCCATAAAGTACCCCCCCAGATGTTCCGACTTTGTCAAAAATCTAATCATTTCACGTCAGGCCGAAATAAAACTTAAGTTTAAAATTTAATGTTTTTTTCTTTATCCATTTTTGAGTTTTCTTCAAATTTCGAAATTTACACATTTTCTCAAATATCTCGAATACGGTCCATTTTAGAGAAATTATCTATGGGATAAAAATTATAGAGAATTATATTACAAACAACTTTTGTTTGAACAATTTTTATAAAAAAAAATATTTTTTTACATTTTGTCAAATTTCGCGAATACGGACCATTTTAGGAAAATTTTGTATATAACAAAAATTATAGATAATAAAATAAGAAGTAACTTTCATTTAAAGAATTTTCTTCCCCAAACGTAAATAACAGATATATTCCATAAAATATAAAAATGACCACCTATAAAGTACCCCCCCAGATGTTCCGACTCTGCCCAAAATCTAATCAGCTCATTAGACGTTGGAACAAAGCTTAAGTTTAAAATTTGGTGTTTTTCCGTGTATCGGTTCATGAGTTATGCGTTATACAGACACACACACACACACACACACACAGACACACACACAGACACACACACACACACACACACACACACACACACACACACACACACACACACACACACACACACACACACACACACACACACACACACACACACACACACACACACACACACACACACACACACACACACACACACACACACACACACACACACACACACACACACACACACACACACACACACACACACACACACACACAGACATCATCGCGAAAATAGTCAAAACGGATTCAGGGGACCTCAAAACGTAAAAATCCGTCGAAAACTCGAGGTCGAAAAAAATCATGATTCCTATACTTTCCTTATATCTGTATACAGATAGGAAAGTAAAAAGTACTTACATATATTTTGGAAACAAGTGTTCTCTCGCAAAGATAAGCCATAATTATATGTCATTTAAGGTTTATGTATTTAGAGTTGAATACCTGGCCTGGCTATCACCAAAACACAAATAGGTCCATTAGACGTCCATTCGATATACAATTTTGGATGTCTAGACGTCCAAAAAATGAGTTTTTCTGGACTTCCGAAATCCAATGGACGTCCAGTCAAGTATACAAACGGCACACTTTTGACCATTCAGAGGACATCCAATTCTGGATTATATTCCTGTAATGTATTTAATAAACTGTATTATTATATATAAACATCACCCTATACAATTGATTTTTATTCTGATATCTTGTACTGTTTTACTTTCCTATCTGTATACAGATATAAGGAAAGTATAGGAATCATGATTTTTTTCGACCTCGAGTTTTCGACGGATTTTTACGTTTTGAGGTCCCCTGAATCCGTTTTGACTATTTTCGCGATGATGTCTGTGTGTGTGTGTGTGTGTGTGTGTGTGTGTGTGTGTGTGTGTGTGTGTGTGTGTGTGTCTGTGTGTCTGTGTGTGTGTCTGTATAACGCATAACTCATGAACCGATACACAGAAAAACATCGAATTTTAAACTTAAGCTTTGTTTCAGCGTCCAATGAGCTGATTAGATTTTGGGCAGTGTCGGAACATGTGGGGGGGTACTTTATAGGTGGTCATTTTTATATTTTATGGAATATATCTGTTATTTACGTTTGGAGAAGAAAATTCTTCAAATAAAAGTTACTTCTAATATAATTATCTATAATTTTTGTTTTTTGCAAAATTTTCCTAAAATGGTCCGTATTCGAGAAATTTGACAAAATGTAAAAAACATAATTTTTTATAAAAATTGTTCAAATAAAAGTTGTTTATAATATAATTCTCTATAATTTTTGTCCTATACATAATTTCTCTAAAATGGACCGTATTCGAGATATTTGAGAAAATGTGTAAATTTCGAAATTTGAAGAAAACTCAAAAACGGATAGAGGAAAAAACATTAAATTTTAAACTTAAGGTTTATTTCGGCCTGACCTGAAATGATTAGATTTTGGACAAAGTTGGAACATCTGGGGGGGTACTTTATGGGAGGCCGTTTTTATATTTTATGGAATATATCTGTTATTTATGTTTGGAGAAGAAAATTGTTCAAATAAAAGTTACTTCTAATATTATTATCTATAATTTTTGTTTTATGTCAAAATTTCCTGAAATGGTCCGTATTCGAGAAATTTGACAAAATGTGCAAAATTCTGATTTTTATGAAAATTGTTAAACAAAAAGTTGTTTGCGATATCGATTTCTATAATTTTTGTTTATACATGATTTTTCTAAAATGGTCCGTAATGGAAAAGTGCTAAATTTAAATTTTTCTGTATTTTCGTTTTCAATGAATATCTATAGAAAAATGTTTCGAGGTAGATGTATGTGTAAAATGTATATATTTAGTTTATCCTCTAAACATTTATAGAGATGCTGCAATAGGTTGTACAAAATAACCGGAAAATGTCTATAATAACTAGATAGGAAAGTCATGTGTTGGACACATCAGATTTTTTTACTGTATGGCGATAACGCCGGCTTCTATGTGGAATCACCGAATAAAGGCACTTTCAATTCAGCATTCAATTGAGTTTTATTATAAATTGGAATTAAGGGAAAAAAATAATATAATTGTAGTTTTTAAGGAAATTAGGGACATTACACTGGCGCAGTCAGTAATAAGAAGTTTAAATTAAATTAACCAAGTGAGGTGATAAATTAAATAACAATTTAATTAAAAGTAGTAAAAATGTCAGTGGGCAAATTGGAACCCTTTAAATTAGGCGAAGGTAATTGGACTTCGTATGCGACACGAATAGAACAATACTTCAAAGTTAATAAAATTGAAGAAAATATGAAAACAGCTGTGTTAATAACTGCAGTGGGAGATGAAACTTTTGAGCTCATGGAAAGTCTGTGCAGTCCGCAAAACCCACAAGATCAGATATTTGCCAATCTGACCAAAGTTGTAAGGGAGCATTTACAACCAATACCGTCAGAAATCGCCGAACTAAAATCTCTACCTACGCGGCAGCATTAAAACAACTTTCCAAACACTGCATACTAGAAACCCAGTTCAGGGATCAGTTAGTTTTCGAATTAAAAAATGAAATTATCCGGCAACGATTGTTTCAAGAAA